GTCATCTGATCAAAATATTACTGACTGTGTGTGCAAGCAAATTATCCAAATCAAAAAATAGAAAAAAAAATAATAAGAAACTTTTCTTCATCTCAAAAGCGGACTTCAGCCGAGGAGCTTCCTCTTCTTTCGCAGTTTTGTCGGCTTCAATGCGGACAAAGCAACCGAACTGACTTGTCACCTGACTGACTTTTAGGCCACCATACACCTCCACTCCTTTCCCATTTTTCTCATCATTGGGGACAGCCACTCTGGACAATATGTCCTTAAAGTTGTCTGGGCGAAACTCGCTTGCCGCTACCAATCTCTCGTATAGCTGTGTAAACGTCACATCTCCCTGGCCGACGTCAATTGCGTACCAGTCTACAACAATCCCTCCGTTTTTCCTCTGAACTTTTATGCTCACGTATTTTGGTGGCGTGGTTGCTATGTTGGAATTCCCGGCAACGCAATACGCATGTACAGAAGATCATTTACGACAAAATTGGCACGTTTTGAGGTAGTCCAAAACGAGTTTTACGACAAGCCGGCGCTTTTCGACAATATGAGTTGGCAAGTTCTGGACAGAAAACCAATCTGTGTCAGTGATTTTTTCTTTCTTTTTTTTGTTGAGAACAAGCGAAAACTAATGCACGTGCGGATGTCATCCATAAAATTAAGTAGGTGTGGCCTAACAAAAATATTTGCACTGCGACCGAACTCATAAATATTCATATAGCTCGTTAATATTCATGACTGACCGGCCGGCACTCCCGTTGGGCTGGCGAGATCCCTGCTTGAGCGTATTACTCATACAGAGGGTTCCTTTGTAGATCCTTCCTCCCACAACGCCGAGTTTGCCTCCGAGATTCAGGCTTTGGTTGAGGGCCTGGTTGAGAGCCAGGGATCATCGATTGGTGACAGTGTCCTGGTGGGTTAGGTGATGTTCTGAGCTAGGGGCCTTGTCCTTTTCGGACGGGTGCGCCGCCTTTATGGGCAATAAAGCCATGCAAAACACACAAACCGGGTTTCTCACCAAGAATTAAATCCCAGGATACTATCCCCAGCCGATCGCCATCCCCCAGCTGGCCAACATTTTTGGCCCAGAGGATCAGAAGGAGTTTTTTTTTTGCCCGGGTCAAGCACCGAGTTACTACAAGAACCATAGTTGGGAGTCAAGGCATGGCAACAAGCACATGTTTGTTTGTTACGACCATGGTAAGCAGGACAGAACAGGCTTCCACGACTTCCATTTCCAGGTGGGTCACTGGGACTGTGTTTGAGGTTTACGTTTGTCTGGCATCCTCGACACTGCGTAAGAGCTCATGAGGTCCAATACAATACAATAACCACTACAACAACGTTGTTTACAGATACATTACAAGTCAAGTTTAGCTTATCCTCAAAAACAACATGAACATGTTTATAATTTTAAAACTGAATATCTTTACAGAAACAACTTCAAAAGTAAAAGAGGAATAACAATCAATGATTAAAAATCATTATTGTCAGTAAATTGTAAACTGTATCTGTGACG